GTATTTCTGTGTTTTATCAAGTGCCCATACTTGTGGTTATCAGTGTGTTCAAGGAGAATCTCCCCCTCGGTTAGGTCACTCCCTCCCTCTGAGAATTAGGAGGCATTATATGCTGCCGTTCTGCTGAAAACCCGACGGGACAGAGATGAAAGCTGCAGCACACGGGGACACACGTTTCTGATGTGGAAGTCTTCCTTGAAAACCTGACTGATACAAAGCTCAAATCTGAACAGCTGAGATGCTGTCCTAGACCTCTTTAATGTTTGTATCGTACTGTATGTAAGATTCAGATATTTTCTAGTATTTACTTTTGCAATCCTAGGCTTTGTTTTGTTAGCAGAGAGGATTAGAGAACCAATGGGAAGACATGTGTCACAGATATTCAGTGTTTTGAAGGGGTATCTTCACCGCTGGATTACATTAGGAGTGTTTGCACTTGCTCCAATAGCATTTAAACTACTATTACCATGCCACTATACCCATATTCGGTTAGTCCTGTGAGTGAAACTTTGAAATTATTCATTACAACTATTCGTTTGGTGGGAGTTTTCACTGAGAAGGAGGCGGGACGTTACTGTATGCTTTACTTTCATTGAAATTTGGATGAAGCCTTTATATTTTATTATTGTTGCCTGCAGTTCTTTTGAACACATCCTGAGACAATGCAATGCTTTGTAGTTGATACAAAAAGCACCTTTTTTTAGAAGCTTGATTAGTGCTTGGAGTATACAGAAACACTGTAGTAATGGTGAGTAAAAACTACTGGGGTGATTTTATACCAATGTTATGAAAGCTTTTACTGTCCTTTCTTTTCTTTTGCTCATTAACAGTGATGTACTTATCACCATCAGCTGCTTGTTTTCAGCTTCACTTCATTTTCTATTCAGCGGCATTCATTTATTTTCATTTTGCCAACACAATTAACCCAGTTGCTGTCTTTGTTTTCGACAAGACAATCAGCTCCGTTGCATAGTCTTCAGATAAGACGATCCTCTACGTAGATACTCTTGATGCACTGATATATTCATATATCACCACTTTAATATTTGTAATGTTTCAACTCGCCAAACCCCTCACTCATGAATATTTAGGCTAGACCAGTGCTGTCTTACACCTCGTCCAAGACTTGCTTCTTTTTTTCATGTTTTTTTTATTTTCACTTAACACCTGATGCTATTATTTATTGGTATATTTTTTATTTTTTTAGTATTTTTTGCAATATAAAGGTGGTACAGTAAATGTTTGACTGTAGCATAGACCACAGTGCAGGCTTGGCAGTTACAATACTCAAATATCCCTTTTATTTCTCTGTGTACATAAAATATAGAAAACCCACAAATGTAAAAAAAACGAAAAAAAACACTTGAAATACTGCACACTGCTTTTTTTAACAAGTGTTCGTCATTTCAAACGTTAATTTTATCTTTCATTTTGTGCCAAGTTTTTTGTTCCTCTTTTTTCATCCTCACCCAATGCCCTTACCTGTAATAAAATGTTCTGGTTTTATCGCTGTTTACAAACATATATTTATTGTGCTGTATATAATATATAATTATTAATGTTATTACTATCATAATGCCGTTTGTTGTAAATGGTCGATTCTTATCATCCCTTTTGGTGATGGTGTGGCTGTATTACGTACCTCTTGTTGAGAGAATGTTTATAACAGATGAGCTTTGGTGTAAAAAAAGATCCATGGACATGTTGCTTACCTGAGAAGTAGCTCAGTGAAGAGAGGGGGAAAGCCAAATTGTTTTTTTAAAGAAACTGTTCCTTGGCCCATGGGCTGTGCCTTAAATTCAAAGCATGTCATTTACTTTAGCCTTTTTTTCTATTTGATTTCCTAGTTCTCTTTTGCTGCATTAGTGGATCTTTTGGCTTGGGTTGGCCCGATCTCCTGCTGTGAGTTTGAAAATGTTGCTTTTTTTTCTCACAGCCAAACACATATTTATCTATCAAAAATGTGTTCCTGGGTCAAATTGTGCAGGATTCAGGTCAATCACAAGCCATAGATGTACTCCCTGAGTGATGTGTGGCCTAAAGCCGGATGTCCAAGAGTCGTATTTGCTGTAGACCTGGTGTGAACAACTGGCATTTCCTTACGCCCTGACACTACACTCACTGTGACACACCCGCTGGGATGTAAACGATACGGGAGTGACTTTGTCCGTGCAGAGGTACTGCAGTGTCGTCTCCATGCGTGTGGGAGTGTCACAGCTACAAACACTGAACGGGGTGCAACAGGAGTGTGTCCCGCTGCTCAACCACAGCCTACAAAGCACAGAGTCTTTGAGACACATCTGCATGTTCAGCCACTGCTGCATTAATTATGGCTGAAACACTGACGGTGTGTTGCTTATCTATGCTCGGCCCACACTTTCACTCACATGACTTGCAATATCCAAAACCACTGATATCTTTCTGCCTGGACGGGAGAAGGGTTTAGTATATTTCTGTAGTGAGGGGTGGGCTTGGGGGGGTGGGCTGGGGTAGGGGTTTTGAGTGCATCTTTGTCCAAAAACAGGGACACTTATTTTGACACACATACTGTAGATTCTAAACAGCCCTGGACCAATGGAAACAGTGGGTTCTTTTATCATTATGTGTTCTATTTTTTATGGTATGAAAGGAAAACACAAACTGTAACTTAAAAAAAGGTCTTCAGGACAATTATTTTTTGGGTTATGTCTTTAGAATGCCAACTTGTCTGGAAGTTTCACAGGACAATTAAAATGTTATTTTAATGGATTCCTTGTTAATTGCAGTCTATTGGATAGCACTGTAGATCATACAACTTTATGTAAAAAACAAATGAAAATAATGAAAAAAAAGTTTTTATATGCAATGGATTAAATAAAAGCATGGGTTGATTCTGCCTACTCACTGGTTTCTTCGTGTCATTGTTTCAGAGGGTCATACCATACACCATGCATTTGTTTCACAGAGAAAACATAATAAAGCCTGAAAGAACATTTTCAAAAACATTGTTTTGGGTTTTGGCATTTTTTTTCATACCCAAAGCCAATCTGTATGTTTTCTTGTTCTTCTGCTCTAAATATTCTTTATTATTGACATGATACATAGATCTATATTATTACAATTTTGGAAGATTGCTGTCACCACAGCCTTGATAAAATAAAAAAAGACTGTGATTGGCATGTATTGTCACGTTTCATTTGTATATCTAATTTATAATAGCTTTTTTTTGTATTCATCCCCAATCAAAGATATCGTGCATTAAAGACATACTAAAATATGTTGTATGTGATGATCAGTTGTGATCAATATGCCTCCTCCTGACATATTAACAAGAAAGCTGGTCAATTGTGTTGACACAAAAATAGAAATTCAGATTCTTAACTTGAAAAATCTCTCTGGTGACACCACTGCATTCAGATATATGAATATGTTTGTATAAGGACGGGGGAAATAAAAACAAAAATAACGAAATTACAGAAATATTCCTCCGCTGATCACAAAGGGGGGTGCCTGAGAGCTGTGGAGGAGAGGAGGTCTCACTCTACTACTGAAAGAGAAAGAAGTGGAATCTGATCCGGCTTATGCACCAAGTTGGATTTTGGAGGACTTTTTCCGGTCAACCAGGCTGTTTTTGGAAGTTAGCTGAAGCCAGGAGCTGGTGGGATGAAACAATTCAATCTTAAACATCATCTTTTGACCTGCATCTGATCTGTGATCTGGCCTGCTTGGACCTCAAGCTAAGTGTCTCTGCCTCTTTAGAGATTTCCATTTCCTCCACCTAAAACCCTACAAACCTGCAACCACTCACCTCACTCTGAGCCGGTCGGACTCTCCATTCATACATTTCATACACATATCCACCTGAACTGCACTGGAATTGAACTGGACTACTTTCACAGTGTAAAAGGACAATACAAACTTTTAACATACTCATTCACACTCTCGCCATGGTTTGGTCTGTTATTTAATTAATTCATGTTTTATTATTTGAACTGACATATTTGGTTTTTGCATCTTTTGAGTTTACGTTTTTTTGGTAATGGGACTGTGTTATGATCTTTTACTTTGTGATGTATTAATTATAATTTTGGTCAAATACAGACATCTTATTTTGACAAAGATAAATTGATTGATCTGCTGATTTTGTACTTTCCGTTGCTCGGTCATCGGGCTCTGTTTATTTAAATTGACCTTTTAATTTTTGCAAATAAATATTTTAAATATTCTTCTGTCTGACGCCCAAATGTAATGTCATACTTTTGGGATAAAACCTACGCTGCATGTTACAACTGTAACATTAACATGTAGAGGAGTAATGATAACATTCGAGTGAATTGTTGGAAAGTGTACATAAAAATGAACTGAACATTTAGATACCAATCTTCAAAGTACTTTCTGTACTTGAGTAAATATATTTACAACTCAGGTGTCATATTATTGAATGTTAGATTATTAGACTGAAGCATAAATATGTAAATGCATTTGTTATGCTGTTTAGGCTCAATGTACCTGTACTGTTGGGTAGTTTAATGTACAGACATTTATTTTTGGTAAACACTTCATTGTAGATTAACTAATTAAAATAGCTGTCAAATAAATGAAGAGGAGTTAAAAGTCAAATGTAGTGAAGTATATAAAGTGTAACATACAAATGTGTATTTTAGTACAGTATTTGAATGTACTTTCCATCACTGCATTTGAGGCCAGTGCAGTATAATGTCCAACACTAGGTGGCGGTCACTGCCCGCGAATGGAAGGAGGCGTCAGCGCTGCAGAGACAGCAAAAGGCAGCAACACACACACACACACACACACACACACACACACACACACACACACACACACACACACACACACACACACCACACACACACACACACACACACACACACACACACACACACACACACACACACACACACACACACACACACACACACACACACACACACACACACACTGCCCTCCTTCATACTCCTGTAGCGTCAGCAGAGACAGAGAAAGAGAACACGGACACCCACTGATAGAATCTGATTTATTTCCTATAATCTGAAAAACATACATCTTACTTTGCTTGCACTCTGAGAAACATATATATTCAGTTATATGTAAAGTCATACAGTTCTAAAATGACATTTGACCAGAGTGACAGATCTATTCCTCTATTCAATGAATCTTGACCGGAGATCAATACAATAATTTATTTCATGGCTACTGGCTTAAAATGATAATATCACATACATACACAGATGCACACGCACAAAGCACTTGTACACACATATGCTTTGAACTTGTTTGTGTATCCCTTTTCTTAGAATTACAACAGAATGGCATATGGCATGGACTAAGATATCTCCCTGACTATCTTTCACAATAACACTGCATTTTGACATGATAATACAAGATCAATCAACACCCAACAGTTAGCAGGAACAGCATATAGTACGTGAATACATTTGTACAAAAGGTATACACAAACAATACACCATAATACGGAATTTGTCAGTTCAATATGGCAGGTACACACACACACACACACACACACACACACACACACACACACACACACACACACACACACACACACACACACACACACACACTAAGTCACACATTCAGAGGCTGCAATTACCATGAAGCACACACTCACTTTTTGTAAAGAGATTGTACATCAGTTTCAGAGCCTTTCTGACCAAACTCACTCACACACTGCAGATAGAGTCATTGTACTCGAGCACAGGAGAAACTATGTACAGGGTTTCATTCATAAAATATTGCACTTATTGGCCCATTGCATCTCACAGCACGTGCTATGATGATGCGTCTAAATCTGTAACACAGAGTGATATATACACTATCTTATTATATAAATCTACATAGATAACTGGTACATGCAATTTTTGGGAGTTTTTATTCAACTATGCAACAAACAACTGACGATGCTAAAAGGAACTGTTTGTTTTGGCACAAATGTGTTTTTTAAATTATTGTAGAGTAGAACTGAAAGGCTTTCAGCAATGTTTTGACTTAAGTTTAAGACCACTGCAGTGCTGTATATGCCTTCATCCATATTTTGGACTACTGTATATCTATGTTTTCTACGCAGCTTACTCAGATTCAAACATGACATTTTAGCATGCTGAATTAAACAATATTTTTTTATTTATATGGCTGTTTATTCCATGCCAGAGCTGATCAGTTGTTGTATAGCATACACTGTGCGGTGCCTTGTCAGTGTGACATTGGTGTTAAATGAAATGCTGATAATTGCTATTATATGAAGTCGAGGATGTTAGGGTTCTATCTCTAGATAAAACAGCACATAAGATTTTTTTGGCAGCATGCTCATTGCATCAAACTATAAAGGGTCATCTTAGAGGCTAAACACATATGAATAGTTGCTTTTACGATTTACAGCTATACTTATCAGGGAAATCACACATCTACAGACAGCAAAAACGTGGAATACTACTCACATCGACATTAAACGTACTGGGTTCATTCAGAAAGTTAGCATGACAGAGGAACTTACAGAGGCCGTGTGGGAGATGCTAAAAGGACACTTTTTTTATCCAAGGTAGATGATTTTTTTAGATGACAAAGTTGCACTCATTTGCGACTCAGAGATAACACTCACACTCATGCAAACCCACACTCACTTACTGTACAGTCACACAACAGCCACACACTCATTACACAAAAGAAAGTGGCTACGTCCTATAGTGCACTAAATCATGGATTTGGCAGCTTTAGGAGACAAAATAATTCTATAAAAAGGAAAATACATCATGTACAAAAAATAAAAATTAAAGCATTCACTGACTCACTCCTTCATTTATAATTATTCTAGGTCTTAAATATTTTAAAGGTCTTTCCCTCATTATGAAACATACTTGGTTTATGACCATACTAACTAGTTGAAGAATGAGAATATTGTGTCTCTATATTCTAGATATCCTGTGATATTACACATTTTACAATAGCCATGTCTGGTTGTCTGGTTATTTGCTCTTGATATAAGGTGATAAAGTTAAGAGTTAATACGACGGCATTTTGTAATTCTACTACTAAACAGGGTTTGAGCTGTAGTCCAGAGGAAGCAGCACTAGCAGGAGTGATAAGCGAGGACAAAACTGTGCACACTCTACCAGCTGACGGACCTGCGCTGCCCTGCCTCTGCTTCCTGACACCCGTCACTAACAGTTGCATCCGGACTGCTGCAGGGGCGGAGCGCTGTCTGTGAGTTTGGCAGTGGGAGCTCCTGTGGTGACGGCCGGATCCGAGTCCAAGCTGTCGGACATCTTGTCGCAAATTAGGTCGACGAGACGTTCAAAGGTCTGCTTCACGTTGACGTTGTCCTTGGCGCTGGTCTCGAAGAACTCAAAACCTTGAAGAAACGGAGAGCAAGTAACGTGAGAAAAAGACAGGGCAGACTAAAAATATGTTTTAGGAAAAGCTATGATCTTTATTTGAAACAAAGCTGCTTCTATGTAGCAGTATTGTATGATACATTAATACTTTATTGTCAGATTAATTCATTACATGCATCCCTATCACAGTATTTTGTACAATACCCAAAAGGCATTAGGGTTAAATGTTGCTCCAAGGCTTACCCAATTGTTCTGCCAGCAGTCTGCCATTGTCCACTGACACAACCCTCTCCTCTTCCATATCACACTTATTTCCAGCCAGCACCACCTGCGCATTATCCCACGAGTACGTCTTTATCTGGGTTGACCTGAACGCAAAAAAAGAAAGAAACTGAATCACAGTCAAATAAATGCTGTTGCTGCGCTCTTAGACATCATCTCAGGATCGTTTTTGTGAAACGTTTTGTTGGACAGGATTCTAAAAGATACTAAAATGTGGCAAATCCTAAAAGATTGCAGATAATCTTTCGTAATGAGAAATTCCTATTTGGAGCGGGCATGAACGATGATTCCATCACTTTGTGTTTGGCGTTGGGAAATGTAATATATGAGTCACGGATGGCAGCAGTGGAAAAGTAGGTCAATTCTGGTCTGTGCTGAAAACATGTCATTATTTCTCAGATATAGGTTCAAATGTGCTATTTTCTACAAATGAGTCATTGATATTTGTCATATACATTGCTTTTCCTCCCTTTCCTTTAGATGTTATTCTTTGGCTCCTGCTAACTTCTGATTGGTAAGTCATGAACTGTATGTGTTGAAGGTATTAGTCACTGACACGACATATGGGAAACGTTGGTTTATTACTGAGTGAATCAATATTTGAGGACTGTGTCTTTAGACTTTAGGCCAGGAAATGAGTTCATTATTTGCTAGATACAGTTCATGAAATGAGGCATTGCATTTTCCAGCATGATAACAACAATAATTAAATGAATCACTGGAGAGGTTCCACACTGTTCTAACCTCCAAACTCATTTTGAGAAAGCATTTAGGGAACAAATATCTCCTGTGGTGTTGCAGTCTGACTAAAAGTAGGGCAGCTAATGCACCACGGGCTGCAAACAGCAGAGAAAGAGCCAGGAAGAGAGAGAGAGGAAGACATTAGGAGTCAGGAAGAGAGCAGCATCATGTTGGCTCTCCTCCCTCTGTCCACTTCTGACTTGTTTTAGTGTTTCATAATGCTCTGTCAGAGAAACATTGTGTTTGCATATGCAGCCTATAAAAGATAAGATTGACTCATGCTTTTTGGAACAATGTAGTCTATGGAGAACAGAGGAAAAGAGCAACATGGAAAGTAAATGCTTGGAGATTGTTGCCATAATAAAATGTCTTATGTGTAGCGTAGCACTTCACTTGCATGATTTCTTTAAAGCCCTACATTTGATGTCAGCATTACAATATTTCCCTGTTTTGTCTCGGTCACAGGCAGGAAATGAGCACGTCACAGGCTTAATTCAGCCACAGTCGGTCGGGGAAGGAGACGTTGCCATGGCAACCTCTTTTTTTCTACAACCTTGTCACAAGGAACAAGGGAAAGAGAAAGTAGAATTGAAGCCCTGTGGCAAAGGCAAAAAAGGAGAATTGTGGCTAAATGAAGGGTAAAAAGGGCCTCTCTTGTACACAGCGGAATGATCTGCACACTGTCTGCTAGGTAAGCACACAGGTCATTCTCTCAGATGAATGCTGGCCATGAGACAATTGGCTAAATACATTAAGATACCCACCACAGACAGTACACACTGACCATAAGTGTCGAAGAGGCCATAAAAGGTTAATAGGTGGGTCTGGCTTCAATCTCTTTTACAAAAAGACTCTTCTTAATCACTGGAAATCTATATCAATACAAATCAGGCAGATGATGTAGATAATTCAAGCTAATAAAAGTGCAGCATCTCACTATTAACCCTGACCTTAAACAACCAAAAACGAAAGAACACCAGGCTTTGAAAACAGTATGTGCTTACTATAAATGCAGCTGCTCTAACCGTGACAGGTGCAATCTGAAGCAGCTGTCAAGCGCTGCTAGTTCAGTGATGAGGGCCGAGTAGACACTGGCCTTAATACTGACTGTCAGAAATATGGAATGCAGGTCAAGTGTCAACGGCAATGAGGATTTGTTTTTTCTCCTATAGTCTCCTTCGGCTGAGATAGATACAGCAGCTGTAGGACCTCATGTTATAAGCCACATTTCTTAACACAACATATGTGTAGGGTCGAAGTGTAAAATAATCTAACCACATATATTTCGAATCGAAGTTCCTCTTTGTTTCAGCAAATCTTCCTGGCTGTTGTGCTGTGCTTTTTTTGCTCGTTTCTAGAGCAGCAATCCTAACCCAGAAACCTGGTTTTTGCAGCCATTTCAACGTGGCCTTCCAAGTCCTTTTATAGACACGGATGCATCATAATGAACAACATTTAGGCTTGGCTCAGACTTGCTCTTCAGCCTGCAGACTCTGTGTGTGACTCATGAATGGACGAGCGCCATGACCTTGACAAGATTCCCTCAGATCTCCAAGCCTGACAAAGAGGCATGCACAAAACCTAACAACACTGTCACATAACAGGGAGAGAGGGAAGGGCGCTATCTGTTAGGGATCATTTCAGATTTGTCTTGGAAAAAAGGACAAACCATGTACAATATCAAGTCGGCATGATATCAACGAATTGCATTATAGCAACAAACAGGAAGTCCTTCTACTGTTAATCTGATTCTCATAATAGTACAATATATTCCAAAGAATACAGATATTACAATTTACATTTAGAAGGAAATTGTCATAAACAGCCCAACATGAACTCACCAGTCCTGCACAGCGCCGAAGGACTCCTCGTTGGTGATGTCGTACATGAGGATGAAGCCCATGGCCCCGCGGTAGTAGGCGGTGGTGATGGTCCTGTAGCGCTCCTGGCCAGCTGTGTCCTACACACACACACAACATGATTTAGCACCGCTGTTAGCCCACTGACTGTTATTCACACTGTCAGCCTCGGCAACATTGACATGACCCTGCAAAGCACATATATGCAAGTCCATAATGATAAATGAGAAGCCACATAGATAATTAATCTGCAGCTATTTATACATACAGTACTAAGAGATTCTTCAGGTCAAATCCGAGCACAATTTAGGTTCCACACTTTAGATTTACTTATGGCTTTGTTTGTTGTGTTTGATGTGTACATAATCATTATGCTCACTGCCTCACTGGCTTTGCATTGATGAGATGCCAAAAAACACTGAATCAGTTTTGGCTGATGTGATTGATTCTTTCCTCTCCTCGCTCAGCTGTTAAACACTCGATGGTGCAGTACTCACAGCTCAGCTCATGCATGGCATCTAAAAATAGAGATGAAATTATTTCAACATTGGGAGAATGATTGCTGTTCATGATAAGGCTGAACTAATTGCTCCAAGGCAAAGCAAGCAAGTGATTACACAGCATTTGATGAGTAGTACATTGTACACAGATTACCCTGGAAACAAGCTCCCCCTGCAGCATTTGCTACTAGATGTCAATGAAAATGCTAATAGCTCCCAATGCAGAAAGATGAAGGCGTTCTGAAGTGAGTGTGTCCATGAGGAAGGAAGAGAAATGAGGCTGTGAGCAGTACATTTCATGTTTTTTGATAAGGTATATAATAATGAATCCCAATGATGTCCTTCCTGTTTATACTGTGCTGTGGTTCCACCCACAACAAATGTGTCTGCAGGCTTCTGTGGATCATGATGGAGCACTTCTGGCTGCTCCACTTGGCTGATGTTAAACAGAAGCTGGACAGGCATCTCTGGATTGTATTTAGCACAGTGGGTTTTATTTCAGTCAGTGTGCACATGGCTGCAACAGTGTTCCTGTTATAGCCAGAGGACAGCTCTGACCTTCACTTCACAGAGGCAGAGCTCACAGCCGGCCCAGCGTCGGCACACACACACACAGCCAGGACCTTTTGTCGGTGTACAATAACACCTAAAGTGCACGTGAATGTTTGCATTTTTAATGGCTGCTTCTAATGTGTGTGTGTGTGTTGTATAAATAGCATTGTTTGTGGAGTTGCATAAAAGGTTGAATAGTGTGTTTAATCCATTTTATTTGTATTGTTACTATGGGTGTATGGACAGTATATCCAAGTTATCTGAATGCTGTTTTAACCTCAGCATGTGATTTTTCAGTAGGTTATTGATTCAATGACCTTTGCATTTCCAGGCTATTACTGTGAGCAGATTCGCCTATTCTCAGTTAAAAAGACAGGACGGAAAAAGAATTAAAATGCTGAGTCCCGCAAATTGGAGCTCCTTGAAAAGCTTCGCTTGACTCTGCAGCTCACTAGAAATCAATCCAAGAAGCTGACTGCTTCGAGTGGAGAGCAGAGAGTGCTGCCTGGCACACGCCTCAACTCTTTTTCATTCAGTAAAGTGAGTTTAAGACTTTCACAAGGCTCATCTTGGCAGCACTCAGTGATGTGCTTCATTCACTTCAGTCTAATATGACAACGGGCACAACTCTATGATGCATTTTGACACTTTTATTTCTCTGCAGATAAATAGTGAAACTAACACAATGTCAATAGCTAATAGCCATCACTTACTGTAAGTCTGAGCTCATATTTAGCCCAGTTAGGACAAATAAAGACAGATTCATTGGATGGCAATCCTTTGCCTAAAGCCCCTGTCACACTGTCCCGAAATTGACACCAGATGGACACACGAATATGGAATTGTGAACTTCGCACGAAGATGGCCCCGACGTTGGTCAACAGCCAAGTAACAGCCGAAGCAAGTACGATGCCTACAGAAGGCCACACGATGGCACCCGAACCACACACGAAAATATGGTCGTAGACTTTACTGATGATTTAGAATGTATCCAGACTCAACGTAAGAGCTTGTGCCTCTTCGGGGGGTGCTAACATTTAAACATACACTTTATTCTTTACTTTCTCCGTCTTTATATGTAGATTAACTTCCTGTCAACAGCGTAAACTCGCCTTCAAAATAAAAGCATCTAAATAAAACAGGAAGTTAACCTAAATTACATTTAAGACATACAACTGCAACGAAAGTAACAAAAACAATGTAATATCCTTTTCAGTTTCACAGAACACAAATTGGATTATTAACATAATATGTTTACATGATTTTGTTGTGCAATAAATGCAATCTCGATGTCATCGTACTATAATACGATGGCTACACGACGGCATTGCGAGGGCTTCACGTAGTCGTGTTGCCTTCAATCGGGCAGCTTCTTGTTTCCTTCGTATTGTCTTCGTGAGGCGAAAAATGCCCGATGGCACCGATGATCAGACGAAGATGACACGATTTGACGAGATGCCTTCACGATGGCCTTACGAAGGGCAAAATGGACACACGAATTCAACACGAAAATGAACCTTCGCAAGGTCCTTCGGCAATTTTTTGGCATGCCAAAGATTTTGCCACCGCTCACAAAGTTGCTGCCGGAGCCTGAGAAACTCCACCGGCGGTCATACGATGGCTTAAGATGCCCTCACGAATGGCCCGATGTTGTTACGATCAGAGCCGAATTTGAACATTTCCTTTATCGTGTGTCCATCTGGTGTCAATTTCGGGACAGTGTGACAGGGGCTTTACTGAATACTTGTCTTTGCTGATGATGAAAACACATTATCCCAATTAGCCACTGTTCAAATCTAGATTTCCCATCCTACTGGATTGCTTCTTTTGGCCTCTTTATGTGATTAGCAAACACCAAATGTCTGGGGATGGCTAATTGCTGCAAAAGACAACCGTCATAACAACAAATAATTAAATCTCTGAAGGAAAGTTGCCATTTGGTAAAGCAAACAAAACATGAGAAAAAAAAAGAAATAGAGTGAAAGAGAAGGTCTTTGACATATCTATCCCTGCACTATTTCAGAGATACAAGACAATCTGCTTCTGCAGCTCAGATGAACTCCTAATTAAACAGCCTCAGACATTCGTTCCCCACACATTCAAAGAAAGGTGTTGCTTTTTCCCGCTGTGTGACAAGCTCGCACTTACTAGTCTCCTGACAGTAATGTTAAGCCTTCCATCTGTCTCCATGTTACATCCTGGTGTGTTAAACCGAGGAAACACAATACAGCTCTTGAAGCGCACACAGCTGAGGTGACATGTTTTTTTAAGTAAGAGTAAGAAATGAAAAAATGTTTCAATTGTTTTGTAGAGGCTACAATCCAAACTCTAGTATTAAACATGGGCTAATAAGATTTATGAAAAACATCACTTAATGAGTGCAAAGTTCCTTTTTTGTATAAACTGATATATTTTTTAAATAGCTTGCAATGACATCCAGGTATTTTAATGTTAACAAACCTATCTATATATACCTTAAAAAAGGTGGAGTGGTGAAAGCAAAAGGATTAGCTTTGAATGTACTTTCTAAACTTTGAATGAAGTGTACATAACATAATGGAAAAACAAGAGATGAAAAGGGAAGTGTATCCAATCATAACAAGTAGGGATGAACTTTACTCAGAGATATAAAAAAAAAAGGAATTAATGCAAAGGTGACCCTGTATAAGGAGGACTTTTTAATGGCCCGTATACAACGATCAAGTCCCAACCTGTCACAGGCTTTGAAATATATTGATCTACAGAGAAAGATATGGGCAGGGGTCAGGGGAACGTGAGCTCTGGGCTGAGATTGACAGTGTTTTACAGACAGGGAGTCACTCTGCAGGAACACAAAGACACAGAGAATGGAGGGGGAGGGAGACTCTGAAGAGCCCCTAGCCCCTCAGAGTTGAGGTAGTCCTCCAGGAGACCTTGGAGGACAACAGGAAAAAGATATCTTCCACACATTAGCTATGTTTCAACATGCAAATTATCTCCATTTCACTGATTAAATGGAAATGTGTGCATGGTTGGCATGACGAAAGAAACTGTGACATGAAAAGGAACCCACAGTTAATGCTTCATGTATTCTGCTATAATGTAGTCTAAAAATCGTTTTTTCTTCCTTCTATAAATTAGCATTATTAAATAATCTACAAATCCCATGCTGAGTTTAGAAAGATTAATGTGGAATTGGCAGGTTATTCAAGAGTTAACAGCAAATAAGGAAGAAATCATCTTGTGTTGACTAGCCAATGACTGGCAAAAGTAACATATCTTTAATAGCTTTAATCCACTGTTTTATATCTGGTATGGTCAGGAATCAAACATCTTGTGGCTAACTTCTAAATAATTTAATATTTCATACCCAGATCTGCAGTTTGATCCTCTTGTCATTCTTGTACACAGTCTTCACTTTGAAGTCGATTCCCACTGTGCTGACGAAGGCCGAAGTGAAGGCGTCATCGGCATAGCGGAACAGGAAGGACGTCTTGCCTACGCTGCTGTTGCCAATGATCAGCAGCTTAAACATGTAGTCAAAGTTTTGGTCCCCCCCCTCTCCCTTCCCTTTCGCATCCTGAGTGGCAGCCATCTGCAAAAACACAAAAGAGATGCTGAAAAGAATTTATTCAAAGCTTCACCTTGAGCTACTGTGAAGCTTTTCAGAGCTGTGCTGCTTATAATCTTATGATAAACACAATATTTGTTTTTCAATTTAATGTGGATGTTATAAACAGAGTACAGGCTCGCTGAGCAGGCCCCAGATCAGAACAGATCAGTGACAGAAGGCTGTGTCAGACAAATCAGCATGACCAACGCAGCAAGCTGTTGTATTGATGAGTATTAGATAACCAGGATTTTAAAGACCTGACTTTGTCTTTTCTATAGCTAAACTGATTGGTTAAATGTTGTTATAGCCCTTATTCCCTTAAAAGCTCATGAATTAGATTAAGTACTAATACTTGGTAAAACACACCCATATTGTATTTGAACAAAATATGTCAAACTAAAACGTAGATTTGCCAGTTAAAATGTTACAATTAAAAGTGTGTGATGTTTCCATCTTACATATTTACAAAATAGCTTTCATATGAGAAAAGCAAGGCAATTTCACCAGCCATTACATTTTCTTCCATTTTATTATGAGCTACTGTAGGCTACAATGTAAATGCACATTTCACCTCCAAAAAAAACACATTTACACCGAGCATTTGCGTGCTGTCAGAGGACAAAGCGACTAAGAACAAGATGTCAAGAGCACAGTCATCTTTGCTCCAAGGTGAATGTTTTCATAAAGCCACTGCGCTTAAAGACCAAACATGGGCAGCCGAGCTCTCCTTGTAGCCAAGTGGTTATGAAAGATGCCGGAGCTCGATCCTGCACCGGGTGTATGTTCGCTTCCGTGTATGAAAGAAAAATACCACCGATGCAGCATCTGTAAGGACGTCTCTTTTAAAATATCAATGCAATGCTGGTATTTACGCACACCACGATCAAAAACAAAAGATCCAATATGAATTTACACGGTATAGCTGAGCAAGAAGCTACATGCTAATGCTCGAGCAATTCTGGGCAAGAGGTCATTTTATGTATTCATGACATTCTTCCACATAACTATTAATAAATGAGAGCACCGAAACGCGTTAAGGACATTGAGTGAACAAACCTGTGTTGAAGGCCTCGGCTCTATCTGTATCTGCCCCTGTTTTGCAAATACGGTTTTTGGTATTTGTGTCTATCGCAGGCGTTGGTCTTTCCCCCCTCTGTGTCTCTTTCTCTGTGAGCGTCGACCAGTTTCAGCACCTGGGAGCTGTCCCTTCCACTTCGGATATGGCACGCGCCCCCGAGCTGACGAGGCTGCCTCGCGTGAGATGAGCACGAGCAAAGGAAAGTGCGTGTCATGCGTTTCTCTGACGTAAGCGATATGGTCCAAAACATGGGGGTTGTAGTTTTTTCACGGTTTCGAAGGGCATCCAAATAATAGATTCTACTACATTACCCAGCATTAAGCGCAACACATCTGTCAGCAGCTGTGTAATATACTCGGGAAGCGCAGGGAAAGCTTTGTAGTTCGTTATTAAATATGCATCACCAACACACAATGTCCAAGAGAAACTGCAACAAATGGAAACCTCTGCTAACTGCACGGTATATCCACGGTCTAAGGTTTAACCATTTCATCATGTCCCTATCTCTCTCCCTCTGGATCTCTCCATGGTCTTACAATAAAATCACACATCTTACCTTCCCATACAAGTCCATTTCGTGTCTGTTTTCGAATTCACTCCAGCTATAATAAACTCCCAGCTGGACTGTATAATTTCCTCTTTTTTTTCTTCAGGAAGCTAATATAATGGCCTCTCTTTTTGCGTCACTCTCGGTTGGTCTTGCAGGCGCCTCCCCCCCCCCCCCCCATGCAGCTCCTCTTCAGAGAACAAGCGGCTGAACAAATAAGAGGCCTGAGTGCTGATGAATATTATTATTGTGAGCCTTTCAATGGGAGCAAGTGCAGGATGAGGCCGCGTTGGAAGTGAAAAAAGCAGCATGTTTGTAATTATAATCACATCGGCCCTCTCCAGGTTTAAACGACAAAAATTCCTTTGAAATGCATAATTAATTAAAAAAGGTGCAAATGCAAAACAGTACCATTGTCATAAGAATGCGAGGACCAATATGCGTATACAAGCAATGTATAAGTATCTCATATGAGGATATGGGGCGGGATAGTGTTGACAGCCCTGTGTGTGTGTGTGTGTGTGTGTGTGTGTGTGTGTGTGTGTGTGTGTGTGTGTGTGTGTGTGTGTGTGTGTGTGTGTGTGTGTGTGTGTGCGTGCGTGCGTGCGTGCGTGCGTATTTGCAGGCAGGCGGTTGAGTGTATGAGGTGTGATTTGTGCCAAAGAACAGATAACTAAGCTCACTGAGCGGAGAACTGACGTGTCAACGTGCGCCAACGCCTCCATCAATTTTGAATGGGTTGACGTACGATACAGGCGACGTCACGACGTTGTCAGACGTCAGACGTAACGGCGACGTATCATTGGTGCGCTCAAAGTATGCGCTCAAAGTACGCGCTCACGTGGCGGCGGCGTAGCTTTGAAAGTGCTATCTTAGATATGCGTGTTGATAACGTACGTGTGGATATGCGCGTGAATAACGTACGTGTGGATAAGCGCGTGAATAACGTACGTGTCGCCTCCGTTAGTATTGTATAGCATTATCCTATATTATATTTTTCGAATGATTCCGCTCCTAGTTTGGAGAGTGTTACAGGTAGCCTACACTTTCTCATCGGCACAGTATTGGTATCAGAAGAGAGGGGAATAATAATTAATAATCATTAGTATGAGAATATTTGCTGGTGTTGTACTCGAGACCGGTCTCCAGACCACTTTTTAACGGTATTGGTCTCGGAATCGACTGCATTTGGTTTCGTATTGTCTCTGTATCGGACCTATAGGACTCGAGATTGTATGTCAAGACCGGTTAAGACCATGGCTGTGGCTGGGGATGTGATGAGGGTCGGGAACCGAAATCCGGTTCCGATTTGGAACAAATAACAATTGTCCGGTACGGGGATTAATAAGAGTTGTGTCTAGCAGCTCTCTCTCTCTTTCTCTGCTCGGGAACAGCTGATCGCTGCACGGCGATCAGCTGTCGGCGATCAGCTGTCGGCAATCAGCTGTCCCTCCCTCCCTCAAGGTGTGTGTGGGTGTGTCTGTGTGTCTCATTCACTGTCCCTCAGGTTGTAGCATGTTTCGATTGCCAGTTTGTGGCTTGTATGTCTTGTGAACGCAACGCTGGCATGATGTGATGTGGCCTGCTGACATGGCCTCTAATAAACACACAGGACTAAAATAATACGTGTTTAATTCAGCCCAGATGCAGTGACTGCAGGCCAAATCAATGAATGCGGCATATATTGAAGGTGTTCAAAGTTGCACCGGTATGAAGCGCAGTGAGAACCACGCACCTGTCAGACCAGACCTTTATATATACAGTCTATGCGTCAGGAGAATAATGAAGATGTGATTGGTTGTTCCACTCTCCGTTTCTCACGAGACCAGTGCGCTGCTGTTTACATTAGTGTGGACTGGACCGACTGAAACTGACGGCAAGGTTAATTATTGTGGAAGGATGGACCCCCATCCTGCAAAAAAAGGCAGCGAAATGTGCTAAAATCACTGATTTATTCAGAACCCCCTATGGTATAGAATGACGAAGCAGAAAGTAAGTGAGCGAACATTATGAGCCACATTTCTTTCTATATAATTGTAGCCTGATGTGCACATCGACTGTCAACAAAACAGTTTCTCAGTCCAATGCTAAGTTAGTGGCAGGCCCTGTGTGACTGGAGACTATAAGGCTACACAAAACCCAAACATGTCCTTAATGTTACTCAAGGCAAATATATGTAATATAACCGTTAGACTGCAGCTAACTGTGGGGCTACAAACCCCTCATACTGTGAGTGAATAACTTGAGATGGTTATGTTGTCTAAAGGGGAGACAATCATTATGGTATTAGGCCATGCAAATACAGGGTCAACTAAGTGATAAAATAAGTGTTGCATAATGTATGTTCTTGAATAATGTTATTTCATAAATAGTTGTTAATGTAATGATTCAGTTCCACTATCAGATGATGCTGATGGTGATGACCCTGAGGGAGAGATGCAGACAGAGCTCAGTGGACAGAACTGGCAGGTACAGAGGAAACTGTTTCAATAGGCTATGTCTATGAAAACACTGAACAAACCAAAGGAAATGTAATGACAACAGTATAAGCAAGCTATGTTCATGTTCTCTCAATAAGTTACTATAGTTATTGATCAGAGTTTAATCCATTTGAGGTCCACCCCCAAATAAAACATGTTCACATTGAAAGGTTCCCAAATACATATGCACACCTTTTTTTTAACAATATCCTATGTCCATATGTTTCTATTTAAGTAGTAGATTCAAACTGTAGGGCTATCACTAAGGGCAGCAACGTTGTAAATATTGACGATACATGGACATCCAGCAAAACGCCCCCAAACAAAACTGGTAGTGGCCTGGCTGGGTGTATAATTCCCGGCCTGACCTATGGTCCCAGTCCGGCCCTGCTGACACATCACACTACACACATTACTGATTAACTGATATCACAATTGAGTTACTCTCTTTAAATAAATATACTGTAATTGGAAAATAATCATGTGTGGTGTCCTTGTTTTGTCCGTCCTTGAGCCAGGGCTCCCTATTGTTGTATGTAGGTTATTCTTGGTTTTAGAATGAATTCAGTAATGGTGTGTGTGTAACACAAACATAATAAATCATTGGATAGTGTTTCTATATAATAGAAATAAAGTAATGTATTAAGACTCAGTGCGAGTTATTACTTTCTTCCTTTACTTGGCATTCTTCAAAAATATACAGACATTGCAGCACATCGTTTCACGTCTTTGTACAGCCTTTCTCAGCATTACGGGCCGTCTCCACAGCAGCGTTAAAAAATCTTGAAACGCTTCTACCCATTCACTTTGAATGGGGTGACGTCACTTTCCCTCACTTTTCGCCGAAATGCATTGTGGGCAGGCGAGCGGAGATTCTCAGGATTTTCAAGATTCAAAGTTGAACAATGTTCAACTTTTGAAGCCGAGGTGGAAGCCGCAGCCAATCAAATCCCGTGTACGCAAATCTGGCAGTTCAAGCTCTAGCCAATCAAACGGCGTGTATGCTGGGAGAGACATACCGCAGGTCATTTCCTCATATTCCAAAAAATGGAGGAGAAATTAGCGGTAGCGAATCAATCACCCGGTGCTTTATGACCAGGGGCCTCATTTATAACGCCTTGCGTAGGATTGACGTAGGAAGGTTGCTTACGTAGTACAAAGCACAAAAATAGGTACATACATTTTCCGCCATTTTCCGATTCACAAAACGTTGCGTACCGGCGAGGGAAGTGCGTACGGCACTCCCTACGCCTGTTTCCCTTGATAAATCACAATCGACTCGTAACGCCCATATTTGCCTATACATAGTCAAAGAAACGCCCATTCATTCATTCATTTTGACTGACTGCATGAAGAAGATCGCAGGAAATTACGATAGAACAGCTAAAAAAGACATCTCACACCGTGTCAGATTTTGGTTATTGTGGGGAGGTCGAGATAAATCATATTGTTTGGTGGATGCAGTTTGAACCAGAGTAGCAGCATGGAGGTCGGATCGTCACCAAAATAAATAAATAAGTGGTCCGAAAAAAGTTAATGACAAAACAAATACACATAACCTTCCTCAGGCAGTGTGTTTGTCCCGGGGACAGGAGACACCCCCTTGATGAGAAACTGTAAGAAATGATCGGGGAATCCCTCCGGAGTGGAGTCATGGTGGTTTGTGTTCCAGCTTTCGATCAGCAACTATATATACATAATCCACCAGTTAAAGGAAATACAACTAATGGATTGTGTTATATTAGCTGTACAATTTACCACATATGGTGTTCTTAGTTTCCATACCTCCTGTGTTTTACGAGCGACTTATCAAGTCTTGGCAAACGGCATAAAACACGATTAAACGTGATAGTATATAAAACCATGCTCGTATCTACAACCTATAGAAATGCAAAACGGCGTCAGTTTAGACGTAATTCTGTCCTCCTGCTTACCGCATCATTTATGAGAAAACATTTCATAACATTAACACAACATATTCGAGGTGGTTTTAAATAGCATACCCGTATTTATTTATTTCTCCAAGTTATGTTTTTGTGTGCACTGAGGAGTCTCAAACAGGCGTTTGTTTAATCATTTTAAGATTGGCTTTAATCAATGTTTGAAAATGAATTCTTCATATTTGATAAA